ACTGGTCCACAGAGGTGATCAGGTCTTTAGTTGTCCTGAGGTCCAGTCTGGTCCACAGAGGTGATCAGGTCTTTAGTTGTCCTGAGGTCCAGTCTGGTCCACAGAGGGGGACAGGGCTTTAGTAGTCCTGAGGTCCATTCTGGTCCACAGAGGGGCTCAGGTCTTTAGTTGTCCTGAGGTCCAGTCTGGTCCACAGAGGTGATCAGGTCTTTAGTTGTCCTGAGATTCAGGCTGATCCACAGAGGGGATCAGGCCTTTAGTTGTCCTGAGGTCCAGGCTGGTCCACAGAGGGGCTCAGGTATTTAGTTGTCCTGAGGTCCAGTCTGGTCCACAGAGGGGCTCAGGTCTTTAGTTGTCCTGAGGTCCATTCTGGTCCACAGAGGTGATCAGGTTTATAGTTGTCCTGAGGTCCAGGCTGGTCCACAGAGGGGGACAGGGCTTTAGTTATATTATATATAGCACGTTTATAGGCAGGATCAAACTGACACCACATTATGAACAAATTTTAGGGTATTATGGCAGAAGGGGGACCACTGACAGCAGAGCTCCTAGGATCATTCAGACACACAACTCCTCCATCATAAGGTGGTGATTTAAGGAGGAGAGTTGTTTCTAAATGTGCAATATTAATAAGTTGTAATATTTCTGGTTATGAAGTGCTTTTATCTGGTCTTCATTGCGAGTAACCAAAGACGTTGACACAAAGAACCAAGTGACAGCTGTAAAAGTTGATCATCTACTGTTTGCATGAACTGCTGTGGACTTTTAGTGAATAAAGGTTTGATTTAAACCTCTTTAAGCTTGGATTTGCTCTGACTAGTTGTTACTGTTACAACCAAACTATTTCTTTCCTCAAAGAGACTGGTTGCTGTCTACTGCAGGGAATGTGCTGAGAGTCTCTACCAACTCCACAGAATCCCACTTCAAAAACTTGAATTATCTTTTAAAGCCTGACGTTTGTGACATTTTAGATTTCAGGAACAAACAGTAAAGGACTCATAAAAGCTAAACTCGTCAAACCCTGATTGATACATTAGAAGGCAACACCCTACCCTCGACCCACTCAGAGTCCTTCTTTATGTGAAAAGACCCCTTCCTGACAATTACTCAGATGTCAGAGCATGTTATGTAAGAGTGGACCTTTTAATGACATGAGTGAAGAGTTAGAAGGTCCTGCTGATCATTTAAAGCAGAGAGAGTTAAGTCTGGTTTATAGGTTAATTCAAGTCTTAAGACTGAATTTGGTTATCCAACTTGTTAAAGGTTGAAGGCTGTTAGAGCTGTTGCCTCACAGCAGGAAGGTTGCAGATTCCAACCTTTCTGTGTGAAGTTCACATGTTATCCCTGTGTGGGTTTCTTGTAATAAACTTATGATTTGACATATTTGATCCCGGACGAGCCCCCACACATGTTATGGTTCGGATGTCCAGACTTGACTCACAGGACACACAAGATGTAGAGTCCAGACAATAATGTGTTTAAATAAATATTTTAATAAACAGCCATCTGAATAAAAATGAAAACTGGGAGCCTCAGCTAAAATGAACAAAAACAGAGGGAGAGGCTTTGAATCAGCTAGCAGCTGAAACATGGTACAGTAAGTCAGGAAAACCTTAATAAGAAAGGTTCTTAAAGTTTGTTCACATTCCTCAGTCAATAAATACACAAAACCCACAAAACCTCTTACTTCTGTATTTATTTAATAAACTTTTGGATACTTGACACACTCATGGTCCAGTGCTGTGTTTTTTTCTGCTTCCATGTGACAGTGTCAGTAATGGACCAAGGTGAAACCTACAACAAAGGTGACCACCAGCCCCCACCCCTCCATCTCTTTCTTTCTATATATTTTTATCTTCCCATCTCTGTTTCAACAGTGAGTAGACAAAATAACAACCATCCAATCTAATCATTTTATTGTAAAGGTAAATATCTATACAAGGTAATTGAGATGAGAAACTGTATGCAATGAGAGATTCAGTTTCAGTAACTGGGACCAATGATTTGTTTTCAAAGCAGTTTGTCCTTAAAATATTTTATTTTGAGATTTGATATTAATATTTTAAAGACTTCAAACTGTTCAGAAATGTTTCTGCTGCTCTAATCAGCCCTATGGTGACCGTACAGGTAGTGGTTCGGGTCATTTAAACTAATTACTGTTTTAATAAATATCCCATGATAATGACCAGTGGTGGGCAGCTCTAATCTAAATATTAGTTTCACTAACCCTAAACCACTAACACATTGGAAAAATTAGCAAAAGCTAATTCTACATAACTAATATAACCCAGTTGGCACATGGAACATTCTTCAAAGTCATCCTAAGACATTATTTACTGTGTGCAGAATGTTGTGACTTAGTGCTCTTGCCAGGCCAAATGGGAGTCACGCGCAGGCCACATTTGGCCCACAGTCCTTGACTTTGACACGTGACCTTGTAGATAAGTGACACACATATGAACAAAATGTATGACAGCTTTCACCGTCAACTGTGAACAATAATGTTGATCAATAATATTTATAGACCTCAGTTAGAGCTTCTAAATTTAGCCCATAAATTTAGCAAGTGCTAATCCACTAAAGAATTAAAAAAATAGCTAAATCGCTAAAGCCCTAATCAGGAAATTAGTTCCCTTAATAGTGCTTTAGTGCTTTAGGGGAACTGTGCCCACCACTGATAATGACAAATTCAAACCCTTCTGTAGTCCTGAGCTGAAGCAGGTTTAGCAGCAGTTCCAGTCTGGACTCTGTAGGTTCCACTGTAGGAGATGTTGAAATCTCTTTCAGATCCCTCCAGAGATGTTTGATGAGGTCCAATCAGGGCTCTGGATGTTCATCTTCAGGAGAGTTGTCTCTAAACCTGTCCTGTGTCCTCTGTGGACTGAAGGGTCATTGTCACGTTAGAAGGTGAACCTTCGGACTGGGTCATGACCTCTGAGGGTTAGGGTTAGAGGTTTTCATTGAGGATCACTTTGTATTTTGCGTCACATGTCTTTTTTTCAACACGGACCAGTCTCTCACCAACAGGCTGGACTGTGGGACTGGTTTGGGATGGGGGATGAGTCCAGATAGTTGAACCTTGGTTTCATCAAACCAGAGTCCTTCATGCAGCAAAGTCAGCTGCTGTTTCACACAAAGGAGAGACTTCCATCCAACCATAAAGTCCAGATTGTTGAAAGTCTTCAGTTCTGGTTCTGGAACTGACATTCAGATTCTGGTCTACTCTCACCAAGAACCTTCTTCTGTTGCTCTGTGTGGCTGGTTGAGTCTTAATCAGTCCATCCAAAGTCTGAGGCAGTGTCTGAAACGTATCTTGATACAGAAACTCTGCAGAATGCAGGTGATTCGATATTTCCCATGATTCATCTGATCAGGGGGGTGTAGACTGTCAATACTGGTTGAAGAAGGCATTTTACTAATAAGGTACAGTTTTTTTCAGTGTTTTTAAATAAATTAGCTGTATCTACAGCCTGAGAGGTGAATCATACTCACATCAAACAACCCCCGACCAGCCATCTGCAGAAAAACCCGATTTTCAGTGAACACCTTTAGTGTCGTCAGACTGCAGTTCTTTTGTCTACTCACTGAGTCTCTGAGCTGTACTTTCACATCACCATCAGTGGTGACGTCATCTCCTTTCCTTCACTCAGATGTTTGTGTCTGTGAGTAACCCCCGGCTTGTTCTGTGCTGTGCTGTTTGAAAACCAGGCTGATGATCGCTCTTTACCATCCTCATCCTCAGTCCACGTCATGAGACTGTTTTCACTGTCTGCTAATGTTCTGTCTCCAACTTCCATGTGTGAAAATTGTTAAGTTTGAGCGCTGTCTGCTCCCGGGTGAAACGGGTCATTGGGATGAAGGTGGGGACAGGGGGAGTGATTGTTTGTGTGTAAGGCTCTGTTCACACAGGATGAAGACCTCCATGTTCTCCACTACCTACATGACACATTAGGTCATGGCTGAAACCTCCTTCAGTGTGAAGGCACTCATGATGCTCCATGATGCTCTAGTGTTCACTAAACAGGTTTTTCTTTCTGTTTTCTGCATTCCTGAGGCACTGCTCCCTCACCACACATGCCACATATCACACACTGCACCACAAACACCACAACTCCCTCAGGAAACAGCTAGAAGGTCACACTATCCTGGCACAATGTTACCTTCATGTGTCTTGAGAATAAGATGGCCACCCTAGTGGCACCCCCAGTTTTATCCCATTGAGTACCCAGGTTTTTCCTTTTTCAATTCCCCTGCCTATTTAGGAATAGAACCACATGAATATAAAAAGAAACTCTGATTTTTTTTAACAATTGAGTTAAAAGCATTAATTTATATTTTATTTAAAATAAAAAAAAATTTATTTAATTTAAAATGTAGCACCTCTGAATAAGGAAAACCAGACCAGTCTAAAACCAATGTTCTCGAATAA